CCCGCCCACGCACCAGCAAGATGTATCAGAGCGCTGCACCTGGCTGGGACGGCTGTGGATCTGGTGTTTAACATATAGGAGATGGCTCCCTGACCTCCCTCCTGGGTGTCCTACTTTCCTTTGGCGGCGGCAAACGGACTTACAAACATTCCCGCTGCATCCTGGGGGGGGGGGGGGGGGGGGGGGCACTCTACGTGGCATCGGCCTTGCAATGTAAAAACAGAAATAGAGGATCAGACGTGAGGGGGATGGGTCAGTCGGCCATATGACACATCGCAAACGATGCCTGCACACCTTCACCGACCGAGAAATACAAATAATAACTTTTCGTATCGAATGTCCTACACGCACGCGTCGAGCGACTGGTCGGGCGGGCACACAAACGTCGACGAAAAAAACAGCGTTTTTTGGCCAACTGCCTGGTACAATATCGTGTTGTGAACCTGGAATCGACCAACGTCCAGGACAAAACTTCTCCCCTTCATGCAGGAGAACATTAACGGTGGGGACGTGGGAGCACGTGCCATCACGTCGATGGACACACTTGAGACCGTGGCCGTGGTGGTGGTGGTGGTGGCGGTGGAGAGAGGACCCAACGCGACGTTGTTTGTGTTTGTGGGAAGCGATAATATAAATAACATAATATACGTTTTGGGTATTTTTTAACTTTGAGTTTTTGGGACGCAAAAGTAAGTGTACCATGGAGCAAATCAAATGAATCAAACAACTTATACGTGTACATATAGCAGCACAGCTGTGGTCTGGTCGACCACGACGCGAGCAAATAAAATGCATCACAACAACTGTCTGCGTGTACGTACTATGGTCTACGTGTTACAGTACCACCACGCACCCGAACAGGGAACCGCTTGGTGCAGAGGTTCTGCTGCGTGGTGCAGTCCACCGTTCCCACCGTGATCCCCCTCTGGCTCTCTTCCAGCACCTCAGCCAGCACCTCCAGCGTCGGCATCAGTCGCTGGCACCACCCGCACCTGTGGTGTGTGTTTCAATTCAACCCCACCCATCCCGAGGAAAAAGAGTACTAATTTAATACATGCATGTTTGTGCAAGTTTTTTTATCTTTATTCGCGAGAACAAGGATCACTATCGTTCTTATACGGTAATATGGAACGGTACTTACGGAACGAGACACTCGCTTCCTTTATACATCGAACCGGGAAGATACGAACGTCAGAACAAAACTCACATAGACATTGGAGGAGGGTGCACGCATGCGAAGCAAGCGGACAATTGACCGACAGCAAGAGTCAAAGCAAAACTAAAACTGCAACCAATCAGGGAAAGGAGGAAACCAGCACGTCATAGAACGTAGGCCACACACAAGTCAACACCACGTCCCACTAGCCAACAAACTATACGCTTGAGGGGAAGCTCCAACGCACCCGGGGGGGGGGGGGGGCAACCAACTGCGGCCTCTAAACAATTGGTACCCCCAAAAAAGCGAAAAAATGAGTAAAAAAACGAAAGCCTGGGCCAAAAAATGAAAAAATGAAAAAAAGCCAAAAAAAAAAAGGCAAAAACCAAAAAAAAAAGCAAACGAAACAAAAAAAAAAAAAATCCCCAAAAAGGCAACCCCCCATTATTTTACATTCCTACCAGGGAGCGGGGAAGGCTACAAAAATGAATTCTGGTTCCAGGAGCCCCGTGTCAAATTTCCCCCCCCTCCACCCCCCGGGGGGAACCCCCTCTTCGTGCAAGTCCGGCCCACCCCCCCCGGAAAACCAGGAAAAACCCCAAAACCCAAAAATTAAATTTTTTGTTTTATAAAAACCCCCTCCTGTTTGGCAACCCTAAAACAAAAGGTAGGCAGGTT